CCCCAAAACCCCAAAACCCCAAAACCCCGTTAGGTAATATTCAAAGTAAATATTGAAATTTTTTAATAAGAAAATGTTTATAAGTCAAAATTTAATACACTATTTTAATTCTAATGAACACAAGAGAAAGAAAATATAATAAATCTTCATCTTGTAAGCAGGTGATAAGGAATATTGATATTTATGCAAAGCCTGTACAGTTAACATACAAGGGAAGCGAGAAATTTAAAAGTACATTCGGTGGCCTCGTATCACTTGGAGTGATTTGCTTCTTTCTATCAGTATTTATCTATAAAATGAACGATATGTTTTTGAAAACATAGACATAGATTAAGAAAAACACATTGGTAAGCATTTCAAACTAATACACACCGCCAGAAGTAATATCAGATAAAAATATAACTTTTGCATTCATGCTTTCTGACTTTTATGGCTCAGGTGCCTATGACAATCCTTATTATGGGGACTTATTTTTGACATAGAATGTAATAAATATAAAAATCAACCAAAGCAATGGTGAATCTTATAGAGAATTCCTAGACTATAGCATCCCTTTCTCGAAATGTTAAATAGGGAAAAATTTTTTTTACCCAGATCCAAGTGAAATAAAAAATTACAATATAGAGAGTTTCTACTGTCCTGATTGGCTTAATTTGACCATTTAAGGAAATTGGTACTCCCCTGAGTACAAGGTAGTTACATTAGGATTTAGAAGATGCTAGGGAAAGAACTGCTCTACTGAAGATGAGTTTAGATAATGGATAAAAAAGATTACAATGCAAGAAATAATTATTTCATCTTATTTTGATGTATCAGACTATGAGAATCCAGTTCATTACTTTTTAGACGATCTCTATTTGCCATTCCAGTACAATCGAAGCATCGTCAGTAACAATTATATTAGAAGAAACAAGCTTGAACTCCATGATGATCTCTTCGGGATATTCAATAACCAAAAAGATATAACATTTTATCAAAAGAGTGAACGACTATACTTTACCTCTGATGTTAACGAGGGACCTGGAGAAGGCATAATGTTTTTTTAAAGTTTTTATTTGGACAAAAACTATGATATATACGAAAGAAGAGTTTACTCCTTTTCAGGTGTACTCCAAGACATAGGAGGTATATATAATACTTTATTTTTTGCTGGGTTGATTATTTATGGTCGGTTTTAGGGATCAATTTACTTTTCTTCAATAATTAGTAAATTATACTAAGTTGAAGAGGTAAGAAAAAAGCCAAAGAAGAAGAAGAATGATAAAGATGAAGAGAGTGGTGAATTTAATGACTAAAGCGGTGAAATCGAGCCAGAAGATAATCTTATGAATAGATTTGGAAATGGGTTTAAATCAGGAATATTTAGTAAAAGAGGTAGTTTTTTAAGTGGATTTAGTAAACTTCATGAAATTTCTTTGGGAATAAAAGAATTGTTTTTAAAAGACATTAGAGAAAAGAATTTTTCTTCTAAAGCTTATGATTCTATGAAAGATTACATGAAAAACAGATGGAGAGTTAAAATAAACTTCCGAGACATTTTCGTGTTTTCTTTTTGGAAAATTTTTGGATTCTTAAGATGTAATCGTCGTAGAGATTCAGATACTATCAATGAAAGAAAAATTCATCTTTACAAAAAGGGTGAAGAAAAAATAAAAAAAGAATTGGACTGTGTCAACTTGATGACTAAGCTCCGATAGTTAGATCTTTTAATTTCCCTTGAGTTGAATAAATCTCAGAAATTCTTGCTAAACCTCTAAAAACGGCATCTTATTCAAGAAGTAGAAACATCATCTGATGAAGATGGTATGAATTTAGTAGAAGTCAGCAAATTTGATAAAAAGAATTAAAATGACTAAACTCACAAATAATTCATGAATGTCTTGGCCCATAACCTAGATAAGATACAGAGGAAATCAAAGCTTACAGAAATAGATAAGAAGATTTTGTTCGGTTTAATTACTAAAAATCCTCATAAATATGTAGAAAATCATGGATTTAGATAGTCCATTAAAAAAGTTGAGACTGCAAAATAATAGGTTAAAATCAAGTTTGAGCCTTTAGAAACAGACATCTATTCTTAAAAGCCAAGAATTATTCCAGATACCCCTAAAATTTAATCATCTTCGAAAAGGCATCTGCTCAAGAATGAGGATGATTCTAAATTTGTTGACTAGTTTGAGCATTCGCAACAGTAACAATTTGCAATTAATGGCTCTTAGGTTAGCCAACTTTATGACGTACTGAAAAACATCAAACTAAATAGCAGCGTTGGAAAAGGAAGTCCCAAAACAGATCTAAAAGTTAAAGAAAAGAAAAAGCCAAGAAAGCAACTTACTTCTAAATCTTAAAGGGGCAAAAATGATGTGATGGCTTTTGATAAATAAAGTATAGTCAAAATTTGAAATACTTTTTGCAACTGACTTAAAAATTCATAGATTAATACTAATTATCATTAAATTCTATTCTCATTATGATTAATTAAATTACAAATAAATTAAATTTTTCAATATCTTTTGAGATTCTTCCTATTGGGGTTTTGGGGTTTTGGGGTTTTGGGG